AGAATATTTGGTAATAACAAATCTTATAAGGGACTTATATCTAGAATTTATAGAATACTCAAGTACCACAACAAGATAAAAATAAACAATGCAGTCACAATATGGGCACAGGATATGAACAGACACTGCACCAAAAAAGTCATTCAGATGGCAAACAAACACATGAAGAAATGTTCAAAATTCCTAGCTCTGAGAGAAAAGCAAATCAAAACAACTATGAGATATCATCTCACCCCAGTAAGAATAGCAAAATTCAACAAAGCAACAAACAACAAATGCTGGCGAGGTTGTGGAGAAACAGGAACCCTTATTCACTGTTGGTGGGAGTGTAAAATGGTGCAACCACTATGGAAGGCAGAATGGCGTTTTCTCAAAAAGCTGCAAATAGAAATACCATTTGACCCAGCAATTCCACTACTGGGAATGTATCCTAAAGAAATCAGAACTGCCACATGAGCAGATATATGCACACCCACGTTTACTGCCACATTGTTCTTAATAGCAAAGAGATGGAAACAACCTAAGTGTCCATCAACGAATGAATGGATAGAGAAGCTCTGGTATATTCAAACAATGGAATACTTTGAAGCACTGAAAACCAAAAAACTCATGAAATATTACATAAAATGGGTGACTCTGGAGGACATTATGCTGAGTGAATTATCTCAGCACAAAAGGATAAAAGCAGCGTAATTCCACTGTTATAAAACAGGACTAATATCAGGGTTGGGGAAAACTAAAAAAGAGAAATGAAACAGATAAGGGAAAGAACTGCTTGAAAAGAATATATGATTAGGTATTAATATACATGACAATAGTTCAGAATAAGAGCTGCATAGTAAAGTGAACTGTGGTGGGGTGGGGAATTGAACAACAATAAAAGAATTTTTTTTTCAAAGAGAAAAGCAAACTGGGGGGAGGTGGGCAGGGAGGGAAATGTGCAACAATGAATGAATGGAAATCCAAGTTCTCTATAAACTTTCATTAAAATCTCAATTAAAAAAGTTATTATCATCTCCATTTTATAGAAAAGAAGAAATAAGCTGTTCAAAGTCAAACATCTGCTAAAGTAGGGAAGTAGAAATTCAAGTCAAACACCATCTGAGTTTTAAACCCTGTGCGCTCAATTTATAGGCCTCCGAGACCCACCCTCATGTGCCTTGCTAAGGCTTCAGCTGGTTGTAGCATGAAATACATGGTCATCACTGTCCTGTCATGGCATCTACAACATTGTTATTGTGCCCACCCAGTTTCTTCAGCACAACCTCTATCATACCACTGCAAAGCCAGTAGGCAGGTCTAAGCTAACCAAATCTATTTAGGCTCTAACTGCTTGTGGCACTCACTTCTAGATTCACATGATAACCTGAGTCTTAGGGCATGGCATCTGTCTTCCTTGTACCTATTGGGATTTTTTGAGCCTCTTCAGTAAAACAAAAGACAGAAAGTCAAACAGTCACCAGATAAATGCCTCTCTTCATTCCTCTGGTGTCCTGAAATCTCTTTTCATTCACAAGACACTGGGTAAAGTGTACAGAAGTGTCCTGCCCTAAACTCAGAAACTCAAGTCATTACTGTCAAGTGGGAACCAACTCATAGCTGATCCTCCAACATGTTTTGGGGATTTGTAAATTGCGTGGGAGGAAATTGCATATCTTAGTCCTGTGAAACTGGGATTCAAACCACCATCTTTCTCCCATGGATTCAAGCCACCAGAGAGATAGTACCTTTGGGTTAGCAGTGCACATTCCTATGGACTATGTCCTCAGGCATAGACTACTGTCTTAAAGTGAAGATTAGCTTTAGACTAAGTGCTAAGGATGAAGTTGTGCTGGCCTAGTGGTAAGAAACTGTGCTGCAATCCTAAAGGCACACGGTTCAAACCCATCAGCTGCTCTGTAAGAGGAAGATGGGCAATGTCCTCCTGTGCAATTAACTGCTTCTGAAAGCCTGTTGAAGGTCAACTATGGGTTGGTTCTGACTCAACAGCACACACAGCAACAAGTACTAAGGAGCCCTGGTTGCATAGTGCATAGTGTATCAGGTGGCTACCAAAATGTGAGCGGTTTGAATACGCCCTGCAGGAGAAAGATGGACAGTCTCTTCCAGTAAAGATTTACAGTCTCAGAAACCTGATGGAGGGTCACTATGAGTCAGAATTAACTTGATGAGTGAATTTGGATTTGTTTTGGTTTTTAAATTAAGTGCTACTCTGGTCCACTGAGATCTTAAAAGTACGATATAAAGGAATAAAACTGTAAGTTAACTAAACTGTATTCCAGAACAAATATTTATGTTTTTGCCATTAGTTGCTGCTGTCCAGCACTAACTCCTAGAAAGTGATCTTGTGCACAACAGAGTGAGACCTCGCCTGATTCTGCACCATCCTTACCCACTCCACTGTGTTGAAGCTCATGTCAACTGTCACTGTGTCAATCTATCCCATGCAGGGCCTTCGTCTCTCTTGCTGACACTCTATTTTTATCAAACATGATGACCTTCTCCAGGGCATGTCCAAAATTTGTGAGATAAAGTCTCACCAACCTTGCTTCTAAGAAGTACTCTAGCCACACTTCTTCCAGTATATATTTGTGTATTCTTTTGGCAGTCGATAGTATGTTCCATATGCTTTGCCAAAACCACAATTCATAGTCATCAGTTCTTCAGTCTTCTTTATTCATTGTCTTTCATATGCATGTGAATCATGTTGAAAAATACAGCACAGAACAGGTGAACCTTAGTCTATGAAGTGACATCCTTGTTATTTAGCACTTAAAAGAGATTGGGCTTGGAAGGAGGAGTGGCATCCACTTCCATAATAGCTTTCCTCCGAAAACTCTATGAACCTCGAGAGAGGAAGAAAGGCACCTGAGTGTCCAGGACTCTCCTTCATAGGGTCTCTATGAATCGCCTGCGACTCAACGGCACTTAACAACAACAACAACAAAAGAGATTGGAAGCAGATTTTCAGAAGGCAATAAGCGATTTTGGTTTCTTCACTGTTACTTTTATGGAATTTAATTATGGGTCCAAGTAAAAGAAAATCCTTAACAATTTCCATCTTTTCTCCATTATCATGATGTTATTTATTGATCAAGTTGTGAAAAGTTTTAAAAATTTGTTTTTATTAAGTGTATTCCAGATTGAAGGCTATAGTTTTTGATCTTCTGCATTAAGTGCTTCAGATCCTCTTCACTCTGAGCTAGCAAAGCTGTATTTGCATAGCTCAAACTGGTGCTGAGTCATCCACAAATCCCAATGGCACTTACTTCATATAGTTTAGCTTCTTAGATTGTTTGTTCAACGTTCTGATTAAGTAAGTATAAAGAAAGGATATGACTCTGGTGTGCACATATCCTGATTTTAAACCATGAAGTATTCATTCTGTTCAAATGACTGATTCTTATTCCATGTGTAAATTTTGCATGGGCACAATTAAGTATTATAGAATTCCTATTCTTTACAATGCCATCCATAATTTATTATGATCCACACAGTCAAATGCCTTCGCACTGTGAACAAATGACAAGTAAATATATTTCAAGTGTTCACTTTTTCAGCCAAGATCTCTCTGTTTTAAATATTTAAAGAAATATTTAAATATTTACAAGAATACAAAAATACCTAGTACGTAACATGGAAGAAATGACAATAAAAAACTAACCAGACCTATAAAGAAATGAAGAATTACACCTACAAACAGTGGAGGGAGAGGGAGGAAGCAATCAGTATCACCTCAGAACTGACAGAAATATTCCAATTAACAGAGGTAGACATCATATGAATTATTGTAATTCCATCAGATATGTTAAAAAATCTGAAATATAGAATATTTTTTAAAAACTACATTTGAAAAATACCTGCCTAAAAAACGATAATGACTGAGATGAAAAAAAAAACACCCTGCCCAAGACAAGATTAACAATATATCCATCTAATGGAATATTACTCAGCAAGAAACAGGAATGAAGTACAATAATGTGGATGAGTCTCAAAATAATTTTGCTAAGTGAAAAAATTAATCTTAAAAAATATTGCATATTGTACAATTCTACTTATATAAAATTCTAGGAAAATGCCCACTAAACTATAGTTGCAGATAGCAGATCAGAAGTTACCTAGGGAGAGGGGCAAAAAGCAAGAATAACTAAGGTGTGTGATGAAATTTCAGAGGGAGTCATACATTGGTCTGCTATGTTGATAATAGTGATAGATCACAGAGGTATAGAATGTTAAAACTTACCAAATTCTTTATCTATCATATATGCAGCTGTGTATCAGTTCTAAGTTAATATTACTGTTTAAACAAGTAAAGAGAAAAATGTATTAAACAAGCCACTGGGAAATATGAGATTCATGTGCTTCATATTGTTTTAAAGATAAATAAAATGTGAATTTTAGGTAATGGTAATATACTATTTAATTTGCAATTTGAGTGGCTTCTATAATATAAATAGATAATAATTAATATAATAT